GCGTGTGCGTGTGCGTGCGCGTGTGCGTGTGCATGTGCGTATGCGTGTGTGTGTGTGTGTGTGTGTGTGTGTGTGTGTGTGTGTCTGTGTGTCTGTGTGTGTGTGTTAATCCGGGTTTTGCTGGTTCAGTTCTGGGCGGACCTCATCCCTTTGTGGGCAGGCAAGGTTGGTGATAGAACCTCGGGGAGGGTTCGGGGAGCACTACCTGACGGGGAATCACTGAGGAGGGAAGTATTTGATCTTTGGGGGCCAGGAGCAGACAAGGTTTAGGAGGGAACAGAGCATTGCCTGATTGGGAATCGATGAGGGTATTGTATCTCGGGGGTGAGTTTGGAGGGGTTCACTTGGGGGATGTCCTACTCCATACCAGGCATCATCTTGGAGGGTGGCGAAGTAGCAGGGCCAGATTAGGGGGATGTTCTCCGAGTCGTACATGACAGGGTAGTTGCAAGGGCTAGAGGGGGGCATCATCATGGTGGGCAGTGGGCCTCCTCTTAGGGAGTGGGGGAAAATCAGGGGTGGTGGAGATTTGAGGTTGTGTATACGCTGGGTCGTAGGTGGCAGAGTAGGGTCACAATATTTAGAATCAGTTACCTCCGTGGTTATCAGTGGAAAATCGACATAATCAGAAGGGGCTTTGTGTTTTTTTTTTTAACTTTTTTTTTTAATTAAAATTTTAAGGAAAAAAACACAGACAGAAAAGCAACCATAGTTGTCCTGACCTTGAGAGAGGGGTAGGTATAACAGACTACTTAGAGAGGTACTGTTGAATTAAAAAGGACCCTCCAAAAAAAAAAGAATCAGAAATGACCTTAGTAACCCAGAGCTGAGCAATAAGAGCTAAATAACAACCACAAGATCAACAATAACAGCAACAGTGATATGAAATAAACAGAACTGCGCTACCAGGGTGTTACTCCGGTGGCTCAGGGGCTGTCATAGATTAGACCTTGGACTAGGTCGTTAGACACTGCCTATGTTAGCTCAGGGGAGACTGTTAGATGTATAGAAGGACCCTCGTACGGAATATCGGGGAGCATCGAGGCTCTGCTGATGGGGTCTGTAGAGAAAATGTTAAGGCCGAGTGTCCGAAGTACCCGTACGACAGGGCTCATTCAAACATGCTTCAACCAGGGCTGAAGTGCGTGGATTGATGATCCTGCAGACAAGGAAGGTGTGTGTACTTCAACTAGGGAATATAGGATGAGGGGCACACACAGCAGGGTAATTTCAACAGATAGACAGCCGGGCCCGCCACACCAGATGGATGTGGCCGCGTCATCGGTTTCGAAAGAAGCTGGGAAGGTGGAAGGATGGGGAGCGTACGAGTTGAGGAAACAAGGAAGAGATGAGCGAGGGACCCAGAAGTGTTTGGGGAGAGAGAGAAAAAAGCGGGAAGCAGACGGAACGATGACAAGAAGTGGAACGAGTCCACCAATAGGAGGGAGGAGGTTGGATCGACAGGCGCTTATTGGTAGGATGATCGGGTGTGCCACAGGGAAGGACTTAGAGGAGGTGGGGGTTTACCACAGGTATGTAGTCAGGATAGGACAAGGCTAGTCAGAGCTTTTCAGAGGGAGACGCGCAGATGTGAGGATTTAGTCCCTCGGCAGTGTCTGAAAGGCCGCGCCCGCCCTAAGTGAAGGCGGGGTTGCAAATATGTCCTAATACCTGTTTATAGGCCTCTGAGACCAGGCTGAGGGGCCCAAGCAGAGCCTGTTGGAACCCCTATGTGGGCATGGATCTTCGACAAGGCCTTGCTGCAAGTTAGCTCCTCAGCATGCCCCTGTAGGGCCCTTTCAGCAAGCATGAGCCCACCCTAAGTGAAGGCGGGACCCTGAATTTCAATATGACCTGAGTTCGTCAATTTTGGCAAAGTTTGGTGGGCGCCAGACAGTTGCCACATGCCAGTTGGCTACATCCTCCGTACTCATGAGCGTCAGAAATAAATCGTGAGACTTCTAGGCTCTTCCAGCAGCACAGACAAAGCAGGAAGAACCTCACATTCACTCCTGGGTGGTTGGGCAGGCCTAACCAATTCGGTCCCAGGGTCACTGTCTGAATGGGCCTGGGCGCAGACACTTTGGCCCAAACGTAAACTACTGGAAACACAAGAGGCCCAGCCAGACAGCGAACTGGGCGAGCACTTTCCATAAAGGAAAGAGCTTGCCACTGGTGGGCTCATTGGGCACTAGGCAGTGCATGCGGCAGTGCTGCTTGAGTGTGCGCTCGCAGGCTGTGCGCTGTGTGACAGCGCTAGGTGCCAGGCAGTGCGTGCGGGTGCTGGAAGAAGGCAGGGTGCTGCTGAGGGCAGCGCCATAGCCAGCCCTACATAACCAGGGCTTGGCTTGGATAGCCAGTGGAGGTGGTGGTGGTCTTCGTGTATGAGGAGGAAGACGTGGGTAGACAAGATGAGGGAGAGACCGAGAAAGAGAAATGAGGATGATAATGTGAGGGCACGTACCTGGTCTTGGCGATGGTCTACAGGGTCGACATCTTCATGTACTTCGGTTGTTGCCGCTGACGTCAACAGGATGCATTGTCAATTCGTAGGCTGGTAGTACCTGTGTAACGGTAGTCTGGGCGCTGAGCGCCAAGTAGGAGGAAGGGCTGTGGATACATATGTTGGTGGTGGCGAGAGTATGCTCTCATTGACATTCGGATTCGGTTCTTTGGTTCTCCGTTGGTGTAATATCAGTGCATTTCTGGACAGCGTTGGACTTTCTGGGTTTCAGTGTGATTTTGAGTTCTGGCTTTCAATGTGATTTTGCATTCTGCATATGCGTTGTGTTCGAATTTAAGGGCTGTTCGAAGGGTCGAGTGATCTTCGGTTTCTTTGCTTTTGCTTTTCAATCAAACACATCTCAAATTGCCTTTTTCTATCTGTATCATTTTTGTTGCATACCATATAGGTGCAGACCAGAACAAGAACCGACCTTTCAATACAAGTATAAGATAGCACAGCGGAAGACTTAGATACTAGTGATCCGAACAATCAATGTTGTAATGCAGCCCTGAACATACATCATCATCATCGTTTCATAGTGTGAATGGGTCTGGCGCTTCACACAGGAAGACAGCGCCAGCCCAGAACATGCACAGACGCGGAGGAAGGGGATAGACGAAGAGGAGGGGGAAGATGGGAATGTCGTCAACACCAAGTCTTCGGCACAAGCCCAAATAGTCCCTCGTCGAACTGTCTGAATCCCAAAGGTCAAGTCTGGATCCAATGTCGTCAAGTCCCAAGTCACAACTCTGTCTCTCTCTGGCGTAGTCTGAGAAGTCAGGTGGCGAGAGGGTGGGAAGAGAAGGTGGACTTAGAAGAGGAAGAAGAAGAACTCTCTCTCTCTCTCTGTCCAGTACTAACCTGTGAAGTTGGCGCCTTGATGCAGGTACCACGAAGATGGAGCTGGAGCGATGGCGCCACAGGTAAGTAACACTGGCCTCC